CAGTGATGATGGAAATATGGGTTTAGGTAAGGTTTCAGAACATGTCTTCAGAGAGGCTACGAATGAGATGTTGGTGTTAGCTGAGTTGCCTTTAGCGTTTATAGAAAGCTTAGCTTGGAAGCATTTCACCACAAAGACTAAGCTATACAGTCCTCACTCTCGGAGAACAGCCACAAGAGACATTGTGGAAATGTATGTTTCAAGGAAAGCTGCTATGAAGAGGATACTTGGACAGAACAAGCAGAGGTTGTCATTGACAACAGACATATGGACTGCTCCTACTACTTCAGCCAGCTATATGGTCATAACAGCTCATTTTGTCGATGCTTCTTGGCGGTTAAGGAAGATGATTTTAAGCTTCAAGAATATTGATGATCACAAAGGTGCAACTCGAATATCTCTCACTCTTTTAATTTGCATTTTTTATTGTTGATGATGCAAAACTCTCGATGCTTCTTGCTTTTGATTTTCAAATTTCATAAATTGTAATGCAGGTTCAACCATTTCAAAGGTTTTAATCAACTGTTTGGAAGAGTGGGACATCAAAAAGGTCTTCTGCATTACCGTAGATAATGCTACAGCAAACAGTTCAGCTATGAGGAGATTCAAAGAAGCTTTTAGTAAAGTTGGAGATGATGCAATGATTCTCAACGGCGACTATCTTCACTTAAGGTGTGCTGCGCACATCTTGAACTTGATCGTGAAGGAAGGCTTGCAAGAGGTGGATGACAATGTTGTTGCTATTCGAAATTGTATTCATTATGTGAGGTCTTCTACAAACAGAACAAAGGCGTTTGAGTTTAGAGTTGAAACCGGGAAGATGACTAGAGGAAGCTTACCTCTAGATATGAAGACAAGGTGGAACTCTACTTACCTCATGCTAGATCAAGCTCTGAAATTCAGATCAGCTTTTGAGAGGATTAAGGATGAAGACAAGCCTTATACCGACTTCTTTAAAGAAACTGTGGGAGGACAAAAGAGACTCGGACCACCTAGTACGAGTGACTGGGAGGCAATAGACAGGTTTGTCCATTTCCTTGTGATTTTCTACAATTCCACCTTGATTCTTTCTGCATCAACTTCAGTGGCTGCACATAAGCTTTATAATGAGATAGACACTATAACAACAAACATCAATGAGATAAAGACGAGTGCAGCTTCTGATACTGAGTTGATTAGTAAAGCCGTTTCAATGACTAAGAAACTGGACAAGTATTGGGATCCGTTTGCGGTAGATGATGGGGATAAGACTGTTGAGATCAACAAGCTTTCTATGGTCGCAACTGTTTTTGACCCGAGGAAGAAGATGAAGTTTCTTCAGCTCTACTTCGAATCACTATATGGGAAAGACAGCGTCGAAGCAACTCACCTTTACGATGAGGTGGAGAGTATCTTGAAGCGTTTGTTTGAAGAGTACACTATTTTTGCGGATAAAGCCAGTGATAGTGGATCACAAAAAACATCTTCTCAGGCTCATGGATCATCTTCGCAGTCACAAGATATGTCTAAAGGTGAAGCTGTGGATACAAGGAATCTCAAAACCGGTATTGGTTATAAATGAATGGATGATATATATCAGGAACTTGTAGAAGATTAGAGCTGGAGCTGTATTTGAAAGAGAGTGTTGACAAACCAAAGCTGATGAAGGGTGCTGAATATGATATCCTATCATGGTGGAAGCGAAATAGTGGTAAGTATCCGATCTTGTCATTAGTCACTAAGGACTTACTAGCAATGCAAGTTTCATCAGTAGCTTCAGAATCTGCTTTTAGCACTAGTGGAAGGGTTTTAACCCCTTATAGAAGTTGTTTGACACACTACATGGTTGAAGTTCTGATGTGTACTGAGCAATGGTTAAAGTGCGAGATTCATATCAATGAAAAAGGACTGGTAACCGTTCAACATATGCTTTCAGATGTGGAGTTAGAAGATGAGCTTATGAGAAGTAAGTAACTCTTTTTTTTTTTTTGCATTTCAGTTTATGAATATGATTTATAAGTTATAACTCTATCTTCATTGTCTTTCTTTAGAGTATGAACCTGAATACAACTTTCAAGGATGAAAAACATGAGAAAGAGTCTTACCTGGTAGTGCCGTGGTGATATGATAGCTAATAAGTTTCTAAGGAGTTTGGACTTGGAGTTTAGACTTAGGGAGTTTTAGAGTTTGGAATTTGGTACTTTGTGTTCTTGGATGATTGTTTTCTTCATGGTTTGTCTTTGTGACTTGTTTTATGACTATGGAATGTTGTTATTAGTTGGAAACTGTTTTAGCATTATGTGTTGTGGACTTATGGCAGGACTTGAATCAGAATAGTTTTTTTTTTTTTTTGGATTGGAGTTGAATACTCGGGTAAAATCATGGTTTTCGGATTTTTTTTTGTTATTTCGGGTAATTTTCATTTATTTCGGATAAAAAATTTCAGTTTCGGATACAAAAAAAACCCGAACCACAATGTACCCGATTTTTTCGGTATTTATCGGATCTACAATTTAGGAACCGAACCGATCCGAAACCGAAAGGACCCGAACCGAATCCGAACCGAAATAATTTCGGTACCTATGTGGATAAAAAATCTCTATATCCGAAATATCCGGAACCGAACGGTTCCTATCCGAAACCGAACCGTTTATCCGAATGCCCATGCCTAGTAAAAAAGAGATAAATAAAGAGAAGGAAGGACTTTTCATGTTTTTCCTTAATAAAAGAGAATCAAAATGAAATTCTTTATTAGAGTTATGACATTTGTGCCCTTTTTTTACAAGACTATGGCTTCTAAGCCTGTCGCTCTATTCTGTGGGAATTAATGGCCAAAATGCCATAATTTGGAAGAGAAAAATCTTTTGTGCTATAAATAAGTCTACATGCCATAATGCATATGGAATTCTAATTTTACCCTTAATGAAATAAGGTTGTAGCATTTTTGATTTTATCCAAAAATTAATGTTTAAATAAATTCATAATTAATACATTAAAATTAAAACAAAAATTAATAAAAAAAATTATTTTCTTTTTCTCTTCATCTTCAACCTCAAACCTGCTAAATCTCATTCTTGCCGTCGAATTTTCTCATCCTCCTCCTTTTCCTCCTTTTCCTCTTCTTCCTCTTCTACTGCAATCAATTTATTGTTCTTAACTCCTCTATATTCTGCCATTGTTGAAGCTTTAAAACTAGGTAAATTATTTGAGAATTTAGGGTTTTCAAAATTTAGAGATTGAATTTGCAAAATTTGCTTGTTTTAGTAACCAGATTCGGTTGGGAACCAAGTTTTATATGAAGATTAGGTCTTTGCATTGGTAATTTATCGAGTTTAGTTGTTGAATCATAGTGATTATTAGGTAGTTTAGAATTAAAACCCGAGTTCATCACCAAATCTGCAGATGAGGACAACTGGTACAAATAGTACAACTAAGAGATAAATGACAACTGGTACAAATGGTACAACTAAAAGATAGATGACAATTGGTACAAATGGTACAACTAAGAGATAGAGGACAACTAGTACAAATAGTACAACTAAGAGATAGAAGACAACTGATACAAATATGAATAACTAAGACAACTATAATAATTGCTAATTAAGTTATTTTTTATTCTATGTTCAGGAGATAATGAGCATCAGTCACACAAACATTTTACTGGATTTCAAGAAATTTTATGGATGTTATATCATTTACTATCTCATATTTGGAACAGATAACTTATTTCATCTATGTTATATAGTTAATCATGTTATGAAACAAAAGAGGCAAAATTTATGATTTTACTTAACTTGTAATATGAAAACCTCGTACATGAAAATTAATAGTTGAAAATCAATGTTAATGCTAAAATATCAAAAGAACAACTATTAAAAGTTTTAGACAACTAGACAATTAGGTACAACTATGTACAAAAATTGTCTGTGCACATAGGTGCATGTGTTACTTTGACAGACATCTCGACACTTAGGAAAGTCAATATAGACTAGAAAATTTCATTTTTGGCTGAAAATGCTTTCCGGATTTTGCATAATTTTTATTATGAAACTTGTAAATGAACTGCAATAGTCGAAAATTATGTGGACAACTACAAATTAATAATTTATATAAAAGGACAACTGGAAAAATGCTAAAACCGCTAAAAGGACAACTATAAAAAATTTTGGACAACTGGACAATTGAGTACAACAATGTATAAAATTGACGGCGTACGTGGTACTTTGACTGTGCAGATGTCTATTTCTGTCGAGGCATGTGTTCTCTAGCTTTGTGGATGTGGATAAGCAATGGACAACTGGACAAGTAAGGACAACTATGCAACTTTTTAATTTTTTTTAAAATTAATAATTAAATTAAATTAAACATATAAAGAAAGTATATACTTAAGAAATGCAAACACGTCTTAAACTATAAGGAACAATATTAATAACATGGATAAAATAAAATTATCATTTTTCTAATATATATTATTGGGTTCACATCAAACATTCCTTATGATACAAGGAAGATTTTCACAATGTAAACAATCTTTTGATGGAAAAAATTCAAATATATGATTTTGCATAATTTTTATTATGAAAACTTTGTAAATGAACTGCAATAGTCGAAAATCATGTGGACAACTACAAAATAATAATTTATATTAAGGGACAACTGGAAAAATGCTAAAATCGCCAAAGGACAACTATGAAGAATTTTGGACAACTGGACAAGTTTGGACAACTATGTACAAAATTGACAGCGCACATGTTACTTTGACTGCGCACATATTCTGTTTTGTCGGCGCATGTGTTTTTTTTTTAAATTAATTTTTAATTAATTTTAATTGTAATTTAATTATATAGTTATACCACTTGTACCAAACTGTACTTAGTATTAGTTGAACATAGTTGAACTTAGTTGTCTATAATTGTATTTATTTGTACTTAATTGTCCATAGTTGTCCATCATTGCATTTAAATAAAAAAGGTGAATAAAATAGAATGTAACAAAAATGAAAAAAAAGATGGTTGATTTCTTTTTTTTTTTCTTTTTGTTTTGTAAAAAACTCATTATAGATAAAACAAAACATCCAAGATAACATCTCAAATTTAACCAAAAATTAATGAAATAAAACAGATCAAGTACTTGTCAGAATATATAAACATCAAGATGAAAGAAGTCAGATCATGAAACTTCTATGTTCAGCTCTACACCTGAGCTTTTGCAGCTTCTTTTTCTTCACTAGCTGCAGCCATTAGTTCATCAAACTTCTCCGACTTCACAAGCGTAATTTCAATCTACCATACCAAATACCAAAGATAATCATACCATCTCAATCGTACCTACGATGAAATATGTAACTCTTCAAAGACATAACAAATATTCAACGAGACAACAAATCCGATTCTCTACCTCTAATATCTCTAGTACCGAGCAAACTACAAAAGATTAACAAAATCCAGTGATCAATGCTATAAAATCCAGTTTTACAGCTTGAGAACTACAAGAATTGACAAAGCCTGAAAAATTATGGTTATCTAACTGCTTAGTTGCACCTGAAGTTAAAAGAGATAATTAAATTCAAATAGCATTAGAATAAAGAATAAAGAGGATCTTGCTCTATGCACCAACAGAAAATTGCTTGCTAGAAAAATTTTAAGAGTCAGTGTACCAAAAACTACTGACATAAGCATTCAACAGCCAAACTAAGGAAATAGATTATTATCAGTTACAAATCTTTTATTATTACTCACTGCTTATCGATGCCATAATCCTGCAGGTTAAATCCAAAACTTCTGAGTCAGAATCACAAAAAAAAGATAGGACTTGAAACGGAACTTGTGAAAGTCTCTAAAACAAACAATTCTGATTCTAATACACCCAGGTAAGTCAATCTCTCTTTTTGTGAATAACGCAAGCTGGGAGAAAACACAGATTAGTTTCTCATTCTATAGTTTCCACATAATAGACAAGGCTTCTATATAAACAAGGGATTATAAATGAAACCAGGATTTGAGTCATACGTGATAGTAGTGCAAGTCTGTACTCTCACATGGACTGGGATATCATTGAAACCTGAACGAGACTGGCTGCAATAAGGGTTCCTACCGCCAATTCAGCTTTTAGACCACCTTCTTCGTTCACCAAGTAAGATCAAATATATGTCAAAGAGAGGAAAGAAGATTATGACAGGCTAGAGCGCGCATATTTAATGATCTTACAGGCCGTAATGGTGATGACTCTTCTTCTGAAACTCAGGTTTATGGGAGGAATACAAGTCTTGGTAGAGATGACAATCAAGTATCTAAGAATGTGTATGTTGTGGTAGAGAAGAACTTAAGCCTCAAGGGAACACAAACGAGTTAGTCTTGATGTACCATATCTCCACCAAATCCATGATCGCATCGTAGACGCCGGAGGTGGTGGTATAATTAAGGAACCGTGCCGTTCGAAGACCTTTGAATCTTCCACCGTCGGGACACATCAGAGCTTGTTGAACTTGGACGATCCGTTCATCCTCCTGATCGGAAGAAGCGAACTTGTACGGATCGATTTTCACTTAAACCATTACTCTCTTGTTCACCCCATGGTGCTGAGGAAACTGACGCTCCTTATGGGATGCTCCTCCTTATGGCTCTTCAAAGTCTCTGATCACAGTCAACATCGTCTCCGGAGCGTGTCTTGAGAATTGGAGATTCGTTGCTGTTGCTGGAGAATTGGAGATTGTTCGCCAGAGAAATTGAATCGTTAATATTGGGGGAAGTTACGATTTCTGTGATTAGGTTGTTAAATTTTTAATTATTGGGAAAAAAGAGGAGTTTCAGACTATTTTAGAAAAAGGAGATAAATAGAATTTGAAAAAAAAAGAAGATAAATTGATAAATGAAAATAAATTGGATTGAGCACGGATCATTGGGTAGGAGTAAAAACAGGTGGGTATAACCCTGGTTTTATTGTGATTATAAAGATATATAGGAGGAGAAACAAAGAATTTCCAGGATTTTCCTTATTAAACAAAAATGAAAATTATATTAGTTATTAGAGACATATGGCATTTTAGCCAACTTTTTTCCAATTCATGGCTTCCCAGCCTCTCGCTCATTCTGTGGTGCTCGTGGTGTAAAATTTGTGGGAGGTTTTTTCCTTTAGATTACGAAGATCAAAGAATTTTTTTGTTTGAAATATAATAATGTCTAAGCAACAAGAAAAATGTACAAAATCTGATAACAGTTGAAATTTTATACCAAAAACAGAATGAATTGAGCAAGTTAAACCATAATAAATAAAAAACCTTAATCTGCTCGATTCGTTTTATTTGCACTGTTGATTCTGTTGTTACCACTCGAACTCTCATAATATTCGTCATGAATTTGGGTTATCGGTAACATATTTGTTTTACCAACGTTTGAAACTTTGAATATGAACAAATTCTACTGCATTTCTGAATTCTACTGCATTTCTGAATTCTACTAATAGTACTAAAACAAACCCGCTCCAAACCGGTAAATTTATCCATATAATTTTAACCGGTTCGAAGAATAAACAGAATTGTCGTTAACCCGATATGATCTGACCCCGAAAATCCCAAATCCGAATCTACCAATCTCCGTCTCCTCCGTCGCAGTTTGCCGAGACAGAGAGACGAAACCAGTGACAGTGAGCGAGAGAGAGTGAGAGATATAAAGTACGAAGTTGGGTGCATCCATGGAACCCGAAACCACGAGTGGTGTTTCAGCAGCAGCAGCAGCAGCCACCGATGATCTCTAATCTAATGGCTCTTCGTCTCCAGCGGACGCCGTTTCACTGTTGATCTTGATCCTCATCATCGTCGCTTTTCTCTTCCTGAATTCAAGTTCTGGTTCGTCTCTTTTCCCTCTTTCTTCGATTGAATTGTTAGATCTGATCGTGCCGTATCTGGAAGAGGAACTTGTTTAGGGTTTTACAAAATTGGGCATAGCCTTTATCGCTTTGATTGCAAATGAATTGTGACTGAATCTTCAAAATCACTGTAGAGGATGATAAATATGCTTGTTGAGATGCTCGATTACTATGTAAAGTAAACTACATTTGTAGCAAGTGTAAACTTCTATTTAGAGCCAATCTTTTAGGGTTTGTCAATCCCTACATGCTTTTAGGGTTTGTCAATCCCTAAATGCTTTTAGGGTTTGTCAACCCCTAAATGCTTTTAGGGTTTGTCAATCTTGATTGCCATGAAGTATTGATCTTTAGACAATGTTTGTTGTGTTGAAGGTTGAAATAAAGATGTCACATTTGGTTGCTAGGAAATCGGCGATCTTCCTGCTCGTTGTGTTCTCTGTTACGCGTCTCGTGTTTTCACGCTCGCTATCCTTGGATCAGGATCCGTGCGGCTCAAGAAAACTGAGAGAATTCGAGAGACTCAGATCCGATCAGATCACTGTTCTTATCAACGGTTACTCTGAATCACGTATTCCTCTTCTGCAATCCATCGTAGCCTCGTATTCAGGATCATCAATCGTATCATCAATCTTAGTCCTCTGGGGAAACCCTAGCACACCGGGTCAAGTACTTGACCAGCTACACCACAACCTGACTCAGTCTTCCTTTGGTGCTGCTTCCATCTCTCTAGTTCAGCAACCATCGAGCAGCCTCAACTCCAGGTTCCTTCCTCGGCCTTCTGTCGAAACGCGTGCCGTTTTGGTATGCGATGACGATGTGGAGATTGACAGGAAGTCGCTGGAATTCGCGTTTTCCGTGTGGAAATCCAACCCTGAGCGTTTGGTTGGACTGTTTGTGAGGTCACATGGGTTTGACTTGCAAGAGAAAGACTGGATATACACTGTTCATCCAGACAAGTACTCGATCTTGTTGACCAAGTTCATGATGATGAAACAAGACTATCTGTTTGAGTATAGCTGCAGTGGAGGTGTGGAGATGGAGGAGATGAGGAAGATCGTTGACCAGATGCGTAACTGCGAGGATATATTGATGAATTTCGTAGCTGCGGATAAGTTAAAGGCAGGGCCAATCATGGTGGGAGCAGAGAGAGTTAGGGATTGGGGAGATGCGCGTAATGAAGAAGAAGAATTGGAGAATGGTGTAAGAGAAGTTGGGTTGAGTAGTAGAAGAGTGGAACACAGGAAGAGAAGAGGGAAGTGCATTAGAGAGTTTCATAGAGTTATGGGGAAGATGCCATTGATGTATAGTTATGGTAAAGTTGTCAACTCTGTTGGGGAACAAGGGCTTTGTCGTAAATCTGGAAAGCTTGTGTTTTGTGATCGAGATTGATCATAAAGAGATGTAAAAGTTTATCATCCTCGTGTAACAGCAGCTAGAAAGAGAGCAACATGTAAACCGGAGCTGGATTTTGTTATAAGAAAGCTTGCTTCCGCGATTACTATATGTTTGCAAACGGACCTTACTAAAACTATACACAGACACAATTAGTATTTATGTTAGCTAAACCAGTTTTGTTAGTTAATTTTCTTTTTGTCAATCTTGTTAGTTAAATGTTTATTAGTGTAATATTCTCCTATACCTACCCAATCGAACCAATGTTTACATTGTCTTGTTTTTATTAAGGCTTTAAGCAAATTCTTTGTTACTTACTAATCTTTCCAGGTACTATAGTAAATACGCTTGTGATGAGTATCAATCAATTAACAAGAAAACTAAGTTTTTTTTTTTGATAAAGAACAAGAAAACTAAGTTTTGTCTTTTCGAAGTAGTTTAAATGGCTTTGTAGTGACAGGGTGACATCAAACTTAGATTTAATGTCGAATTAAATGTTGTCTAAATTAGTCTATATGATGGAATCTCTTGACTCTTTCTACACTTACCATTTTCTTTTCGTTTACAATAATTCTTGGTCATCAGAATTCATCTTGTCTTTATTTTTCCAAATTTTGAAAATAGTAAACTAATATAATATATTTTCAAATATACACACACATATATACATATGTATAATGTAAATGCAATCATAAAAATTCGGAAATCTTCCATGCAACTTTATATTATAAGATATCTAAACACGATTACCTCAACAAATTAGAGGAATGTTGTTTTAATGATATTGGGTTGTGAAGATGATGATTTAAACTGTGTGAATGCATTACTTGTAAATACATAAAAAAATTATGACTTAAAATAATTATCTGATTTTTGGTGAAACTAGTAAAAAAATTAAAAGAAATTGTTTACAAGGTTGTAGAAGAAAATATTTATCTACACATTTCACATTTGTCTGCGGGGCTCTCACGTGTTTAAGTTTTTAATGTATATTTGACTATCGAGCTTCCGACGTAAGAAAAAAGATTAATTCTAGTTTCGTTTAGTGGGCAATATTTATATAATATCTAGACTTATAGTCTATAATTTTACGCTTTTATTATGAATAATAATGACAATGGAGTGTCGGACATACAGACCAACAAGTGGAATCGACTTTTATGTAACTTTTTAATCACGGGATTAGATCACTTAACCCAATGTCCTAATTGGTATTTAATTTTGATTACTTCGATGCTACAAATTGTCATATCTTGATCACGTGCCGCTACCAATCCAGACACGTGAGATCAACCAATTTAAGTAATCCGAATTGGATAAAAACGATCAATATGTATAAATTTTGCAAATAGATTGGTTAATTGCAGTTTAAGAAACTGGTGAACTTTATTACAACACGAAGAGAATAAAAGGAACAAGATCCGGCTTTTTGGCAACAAGTAACGTTTGAGTTCAGACACTTTGCTTCTTACTTAAAATTATCAGTACAATGTCAAGTTCCTAGGTCTAAAGTCAATTATCGAATATTCAGGAAATTATAGGAGTTTTTACTTTTTATCCCTTCCAATTTTTTTGTTCTTTTGACATTTATCATTTATAATTTATATACACACATTAATATGATACAATGACAAAAAAAAATATATGATACAATGACAACATTATTACAAATCATTAGGTTGCAACTCCCATTAATAATCCAAATGACGGTTCTACAAAGCATTAATCATTTTGATTAAACGTTGCGCCATATAAACTAATTTAATTTTTTTGTAATATCTAATTTTAACTTCAGTTGACCAAAATCTAACGATTGTAGTTTTTGTTATTTTCGTTAATATATCTGTGCAATTTTTGAAAAAATCACATGAAGGCGACATATGAACTAAAATTAAAATATCTGTTGAGTGAATTATAAATCAAATTTAAACAAGTAAATTATAGGAATTAAGAAAAATAAATAAACCTTTGATGGAGATAAAAGTCAAATGGGAAAAAAGGTAAAGGCAAATAAGCAGTGATGGATCTAAAGCAACACTTTACTCTATTAATAGGAATTATTTGATTTGACCTCCACTCACCTTTGGCTTTTTTTGGTTGTACTTCATTGAAACCAAAATTAACATAATTAGTACATAACATGAGTTATCGAGAAACCAATCTAACTGGTATTTTAATTATTTTAAAAAATTATAATTCATTTTTCAGTTTATCATGAGTGAGTATATCATTCTTTTATTTTGTGTGTGCTAAACTTTCGATTTAAAAACTTAGAAAAGGTTCAGAGCATTCATGTTAAGACTATGCTTTGCCAAAGCATCAGCCACACCATTCAATACTCTAGAAATATGCTTAAAAGAAATCAAGGGAAATGCAGAGGATAAGATGGAAATTTCCGAGAGGACTCCATAAAGATCAGAGACCATCGATCATGAGGAGATGACCATATCATTCTTTATTTAGAATGTTTTCTCTGTCTTAGGCGACTAACCATACATTAAATCTAAATAATCTAATAGATTAACCTAATAAGACATTTTTCATATAATTTTCAAATGTCCGTATATTATATTATAGGGACCTAAAAATTGAAGTCAAATGCAAATCTAACCTCTTTTTTTTCCCTCTTCAATATTAGCCAATTTCTCTCCACTTTTTCCCTAAAGCCACATATAATAACATAAATGCCATTATATTTATAATTATCGAATTTTTTAGGTAATTCGAAAAAGACCTAACCATCCTAAGATATTTCAAGTATTCACGAAAATGCCATCATCTTCAATTTCGCCAACTACCATTACCAACCAAAATGGAAGCTCTTAATGCTTGCCCATCTGCACTTGAAGCTCTAAATGCTTATTTGGCCGCTCAAACTTCATTCTATCTTCAAATTTCTATCTGGTTTCATCTAAAAATCTCTTTCTTGGTCGACATTGTTATGTTTGAATTCGCAAATCATATATTTTGTGAGATTCTTGGATAACCGAGTTCTGAGCTGGTTTCTTTTCAGTGCATCTCAAAAATTCTGAACTTCTGTCAAAGTTAATCGAGTTCAAATTGGAAGGAGGTAAACATCTAAATATTTTCTTTAACATTGGGCTATGTTTCGCGAAAGTAGACTTCTTTTACAGTCTGCTAGTCAACGTAAAAGGTTAGATTTGCAATTGACCTTTTGGTATTTTTTTGAAAGTAGACTTCTTTGTAAGTCTGCGAATTTTCATTTAAATACAAAAAACAACGTTTAGACTTCTATTTCAGGCTGTCGAAAAGCGAGAATAGTTTTGCATTTGACCGGAAAATATTATACTTTGACCTTTTCTGCAGACTTCGTGGAGACGTCTGAAAAAGATAAGTTTGACCTGAAAGGTTATTTTTGCATTTGACCAAGATGTTGACCACATTTGACTGTTCGAGCAGACGTCTAAAGAAGTCAGCTACGAATTTAATTTATAGGCAAGAGGCAAGAAGTCTGCTATTAATTTAATTCAGAATTGGTCAAATGCAAAAATCTGCTGTCAACAGACTTCTTTAGAAATCTGCTACGAAAGTCAAACTTTGGTCAATTGCAGAAATAACCTGCAGCAGACTTCGTTGGTAGTGTAGACTTCGTCAGCAGACTTCACATTAACAGAAGATTTCTTGCCTCTTACAGCAAACTTCAAAAGAAGTCTGCTGTAAAAGTCAAACGTTTGGTCAATTGCAGAAATAACCTTTTTCTTATGCAGACTTCATATAGAAGCCTACTACGAAAGTCAAACATTTGGTCAATTGCAAAAGTAACCCTGCCTTTTTGGCAGACTTCTTCGTGAAAGCAACCGGGTGGAGTTTTGCTGGAAGTCTGCATTTTTTTCGTTTTTAAAAAGCACTTTTTTAAAACTTTTGTGTGATGAAATTTTTTTTTTAATTTTTATTCTTGTTTAGAAGGTATATTTCCTTTATCTGTATTAATTTTGTATGCTTATGTGTTATACATTAATAGTTATAATTTTTGTAGATTTGAACGGTAATTGGCACATATTAGCAGACTTCATAAGAAGTCTGCCTCTGAAGTCTGCCTGGCGAAGGAGAATAACACAGCAGACAACACTTGAAGTCTGCCTAATTATTTTAACAAAAAATTCGTTTTCGAATTAATGGTATATGCTAAAATAAATATATTGTTTGGACATGTTGATCTGCTTTTCTTGGTTCCATATACGTGAGTTTCACGTTGATATGTGTTATAATTAGAAAGTGATTAATTTTCTTGAATGTTTAGACGTCTGCTATATGTTACTTGGAAAACACGGTTTATCTTGTGTGGTTTACCTTTTTTGCAGATGGCGGCTCAGTTGCCTGTTGTATTTGGAGAATGGGTTATGATTTCTCAGTCGTGGCATTTTGAGGTGGATAATCGCAAAGGAGGGAGGTTGTTCTTCTTGAATGATGGTTGTACACATGGAGAACTCGTAGCTATGGCTCTAGATGATTACATGCTGGATGGAAATACGGACAGCGTGTCTATCACTTATGCATTGCCAGATTCAATGTTAGCAAACATGGCTCCGGATACCCCTCCTATGCATATTACTAATGATAGACAAGTACAGAGCTTGATTGGGTTGAGTAAGACGCATGTTATAAGTCTTTGTGTATCTAGTCGCAAGGACAATGATGGACGTACTGGTGGTGTTGATGCTGCTGATGGGTGTTCTGTTGAAGGTGGGAATCAAAATACTGAGGAAGGTGAAGATGAAAATGTCGATGAGTATGATGATGATGAGATAAACGAGGACATCAAAAACGATTCAGTAAAGGAGGAAGACGGTATTGACTCTGAGGGTCAGGACTCTGAGGATCAGGACTACAGCCAATATGAGAAAGTGAAGGATGAGGATTCAAATTCTGATTCAGAGGGTGAGTGGATTGAAGAACCGGTGAAGGCTCCTCAAAGAGGATATGAAAGAAATTGGGTTGACAAAATAAAAGTAAAAGGAAGTTTTGCTACAAAAGACGACCTGATTTCTGAGATCAGGTTGACGGTTGTTATGTTGAAGTTTGCATTCAGAGTTGATAAGTCATCGAGACGTCTGTTTGTTGCTAAATGTGCTGTTAAAGGATGTCAATGGAGAGTTAGAGCAGCTGTAAAGAACGAAGCAAAGACGTTTTGGGTCACTAAATATGTCAAAACTCATACCTGTTCAGTTTCAGATCGGTTGGCTCACCGAAAGCATACGACTCCAAGATACATTGGAAAGTTATTTATAGAGCGTGTGGGAATAATTGATGGGATTACTGCAGAACACATCAAAGATTCAATGCAGGCGATGTTTCAATTGAAAATAGACTACACAACTTCGTATAGAGCTTTGATGTATGCACAAGAATGTGTGAGGGGAAGCCCTGAGGATGGATATAGCCGACTGCCTTCTTATTTGCGTCTGATCGCTGAAGCAAATCCGGGTACTATAACTGCCCTTGAACGCGACCGTCAGAATAGGTTCAAGTACCTATTCTTAGCCTTCAGAGCCTCCATAGCTGGTTTTCAATATCTCAGACGGGTCATTGTTGTCGATGGGTGTCATCTGACTGGAAAGTATGAAGGGACTCTGCTAGTGGCCACAACACAAAATGGTAACTTCCAGATATTTTCACTAGCTTTTGGAATAGTGGAATCTGAGAATGATCACGCATGGGAATGGTTTTTTAGAAAATTGCGGGAGTGTTTTACAGACGAGTATCTGTTGGTGATAGTTTCAGATCGGCATCATTCCATTAAGAAGGCATGTGAGACTGTATTACCATGGGTAACACGCGGTATATGCTATTATCATCTGCAACACAATATTGTCACTAAGTTTAAGGGGAAGCATCTTATGTACTTAGTCAAACGTGTTGCGTATGCATATACGCTACATGATTTTAACCGTTATATGGACGAGATAAGGCATATAAAACCTGACCTTGCAACGTACCTGGAGGAGGCAGGCATTCAGTTGTGGTCAAGAGTTCACTTTCCAGGTGATAGATACAATATAAAGACGAGCAACATCGCAGAGTCTATCAACTCTGCTCTCAAACGGGCACGGGGATTTCCCATAGTATTCCTGTTGGAGTACTTACAGGAGAAGCTAACAAAGTGGTTTTGTAAAAGGCGGGAAGATGCTTTGAGTCTTCTAACCAACCATACTCGAGGAGTTGAATATTTGTTGGCAATTCGTTCACATTATGCTGATAAGTTGACGGTTGAAGGCATAGATGGTTGGCAATTCAATGTGAAAGGAGGATCACATAACTGTATCGTTGATTTGGAACTTCGAAAGTGTGGGTGTGGCGTGTATGATATTGAGAAAATACCTTGCTCTCATGTTATAGCCGTTTCAGATGCAATGCATATGCATCTGGCCACTCTTGTATGCCCGACATACTCCAAAGATTACTTGTATGCAGCGTACTCGCATAATATATATCCTCCAAGCATTGCAATGAAAACCGATGAAACAACACAATGTCTACCTCCGGAGGTCCGACGTAAAAAAGGCAGGCAGAGGAAGTCAAGATGGCAAACTTGGCTGGAAATTTCGAGGCATAAGCAAAAGAAACCCCGTAAGATCCACAAGCAGTACAGTTGTTCGAAATGTCACCAACCAGGACATACTAGACCGGATTGTGTAAGTGTTATGTTACCTCATACTTTAAGGGTTACATTTGGTCGAAGTTAATTTCCTCTGTTTTTTTTTTGCAGACGTTGAAGTCAAGATAAAACCCTAAAACTATAATAGCAGACTTACACTGAAGACTACAACTAGAAGTCTTCTACCGTAGTCTGCACAAGAAGTCTGCTTCACCAGGTAAGGGAAACACTACTGAACTAAACTCTGTTTCATGTCTATGTACGATCATTCTTAATTATTGTCATAAACTATGCAATATAATAAGCTATGATTAGGGTAAACCTTAGAGTACGTGAATTATCACAAAAGCCACACTAGTTTATTAGCCTCCTAAACATACAACCACACCATTGTTCTAAATATTACTAAACAAACCAAAATTAGTTAGGAACATTACAGTTAAATAAGAGAACAACAATTTTGGCAGGTTAACCAAAAATTTCTAACCATACCACACCCAACGAGAGTCCTTTCTCTTTCATTACAGAATATACATAGTTGGACATATCACTTACCTTCGTATACGTCCAGCCATGGATACTCATACTTCTCTGTGCCGGTTACTCCTGTCTCGTCAAATATCTCAGCTGCCAGCTTGTCTCGGATGTTTTTAATGTTTGCATCGCACAAGGTCTTCGGAAATGGCATCCCTAGAGCATGGCATTCAAGGTACTTCAAGCAGTAAACGCCACAGTCACCGCTTTGTTTGTTTTGTGGGATCAAATGCCCCTTGATTCGCTCCCACGTGAATGGATCATAAGTCAGATTGATACGGTCTTCAGCAGGTGCACACTCACGGAGTATGTAGGGAACCAAGACGGTAATCGGAGTCACAGCAGCCTCAATCTGAATATCCGATGCATGAGTATTCGCATGGCTATCCCAAATGACAATATGCTTCATCGGAATCGAAATCCACATTGCCACCCAGTGATCATCAGTGATGTGTAACATCGAGTACATGTCATCCACATCATACCCCCACGTCTTGTTACTAACGCAGTAGGTTGGGGCTGCGCCAGTGTAGTACTCGAACGAGCCAGCTGGAAGGAGCTTGCCTGAACCATCAGGGTTGACTCCCAATCGCTCCCAGAAATCTTTCATCTCATCAGTTATCTCAACCACCAGATCCTCGAGGTTGTCCATGTACTCGCAATTCAAGCCAGTAATATGTTCGACATTCAAAGAAAAGCGGATCGGGATTAGACCTACGAGGCTCCAAATCTCAAATTTTTTCTTGCAAACTAGCTGCATGCCGAGAATGTAATGCACCAGTCTAGATGCCCAGCCGAAATCCAACTGACTGAACTTCAAGAACACTCCCAGTTTAGAGTTCAATATCTCTTCCCACTCATCTTGTGTGAGTGCTTCCTCGAGTGCAGTCATCAGCTTCGTCTCACCGCTATTGTAATCGATGCTTTTCAGCGGAGACGGCTCATTGCCTTTCGAGAAGAGACGCGGGGGGAACTCTGGGTTTTCCATTGGCTGTTCTGACGTCTGCAAAACGAAGTCCAATATTCAAGAAGTCTACTTATGAAGACTTCCGAAGAAGTCTGCACACGAAGTCAGCCAACTAAGTCTGCAATTGAAGTCTGTAGACCTAATAGTGTAATTAAAAAAGTTTTAAAAATCTAGCCGCCGACAAAGTTATCTAAAAAAACACAACCCGTTTTGAACTCTGTTTTGAACTCCGTTTTACGAGATAATACTTCCAAAATAGTTCGCCTAAACACTATACAAGTCCGTTTAATAAATAAAAAAAAGTACAGATATCTCTAATTCACAGCAACTAGAAACTTGGAAACGGGTATTCGATTTTTGTCCGACTTTGGAAATATCTACTCGGTGTTGTCCGATTTTTATAAAAACCGATGTAGAAACCCAAACGACTAGGAACTTGGAACCCGTAAAGATATTTATTTACAAATTATAAGAAATTAGTACAGCCAAATACCTTTCCACGACCAACGGCGGAAATAAACAGTTACGGACGGCGGCGACACCAGATCTAGAATAGAAAGCGAAGGAGATTAGGGTTTGTGAATTACACAGACGACTTCTATCCAAAAGAGAAGTCGGCATTAAATTCGACTTACCTTAAACGGTAAACGGATGTACAGTAAAAACCGGCGACAAGTTCCGAGAACTAAACCCAAACGACAATAGTTTTTTTTTTTACCGATTTGTGTTAGTACAGTGTTCGTAGAAAGTCTTATATATGACCGTAGAAACCTATTTAACCGTCGTACCGGTTCAATAACCGTCGTACCATTTCAATAACCGTCGTACCAGTTCAATAACCGTCGTACCAGTTAAATAACCGTCGTACCAGTTCAATGTGGTTTATCGATTTCGTTATTTAAAACGCAATTGCTTTAGCCAATTATAGCTGGTTTGCAATATAATTTTAAAACTGTCTGGTTTAGTTTATTCGACGTATTAAGTCTGCATATTAAGTCTGCTTAAGAAGTCTGCATATTAAGTCTGGTTAAGAAGTCTGTCTACGAAGTCTGCATATTAAGTCTGTTTAAGAAGTCTGTCTACGAAGTCTGCATGTATTTTTTATTAATATCATATGAAAAGTAGTTTTAGAGATTGTATGTAGAGACCCTTAACTCAAGGCCTGCATATGTACACAATACACAAAGTGCACATAGATTCCCCAGTATACGAACAATGTATATGCAACAGTAAACACCAACATTAATCACCATAGAAGTCAAATACATATGTTTTATCCCAACTAGTCTACTTAAAGGTTACACAAGTCTCTTGGTCCTCTATTCTACATCCCAACGCATGAAAACACAAGAGATTACTGCAAAAATAACTAAAAAACACAAAGTAGGATATCAGAACCTCGATTAGCAAGTGCTTCTTTCACTCAGCAATTTCACTCTGAATGAACCCTATGAACTCCCTCGATCTCGCTAACCCTATGAACTCTCGATCTCGCTAATGGTCTCTCGGTGCAGCAAGGCGATCTCCAATGCATACAGCCGATTCTCATATGATTGCAGAAGATGCTTTCGCTCTGCTTGTCAATTCGTATTCTAACAATGGTCAGCTGCTCTTCAATGGCTATATCCCACCATTTGGAGATGTGACCCGGTTTATCCTACACATATGACAAACGAAAACTTCAGTTATACTCGATGAATAACATTAAAACTATACACATATTGAGAAAAACCTCATTAAAACTATACACATTCGCCTAATATTTCAGGGCAACTATATAACTTCCTGCCAAACGTCTCTGGAGCTGTAGACTCTTCCAATCTACATCGAAGGCCGCAATAGCATCGTTCAGGTATCCCAAAGTCTCCATCAGCTTTGGCACACCCGCTGTCATAGCTTGCTTTGGAAGATGAGCTGTTGGTGTAGCTTATCGGCATTACTCTGTACAGATCAAGCAAACAAACTTGGAAGTTAACAAACAAAAAACTAAAACAGATACGACCACATAATAACTTTGCAGCTATAAACAAAACAACAAAAACAAGCTTTCCAAACAAATATTTCTTACTCGCTAAACAACAAAATAACAAAAAAGGTAAATCTTGAAATAAAGAAAAAATCGAAATATTTTTACTTACTTGCTCACGGAATCTGTGAAAAAAGTATTTTTACTTAGATCTGTTAAAAAAACAGTAAAGCAAAAGGACAAAAGAACAAAAGAACAATTTTAAAGGACAAACCAGTAAACAATAAGATACGGACTAAACAGAGAATGTAATGGCGAATAACTCACAGATCTGGAGAGATAACTAAGAACGATGAAGACGCCGGCTGAGATCTGCAGCAACAATATATGTAGTGATATATATGAAACAACATATGCATCATAAACAGAAAAGAAGAGATGGGGAGCGCCGGGAAAGGCTTACTGCGAGAGAGAGTCGCGGCGAGAGAGACCAGAGTGCAGCGCCGTTTTAGAGTGATCTAGGTTTTTTTATTTATGGTAACGATTGGTAAGTTTCTTTATATACTATGTTAAAAATTCCGGTTAGGTTAATTATTCTGGTTTGACTAGACTTCGATCCGTAGTCTGCTGAGCAGATTGATAAAGAAGTCTGCAGCCCTAGTTTAAAACTTTTCACTTTTTATGTTTATCCTAGATGGTTAAAAATGATTCATATTTATTAAATTATAATTTTTATAGATCATACTTGTTGACATTTGATTTATAGAAACAAACTTCAGTTTACATTATTTTTATATAATTTAAAAATTTAAAATAAGATTTAATAATATAGCAGACTTCTTTATCAGTGAGCAGACTGATAAAGAAATCTGCAGCCCTAGTTTAAAACTTTTCACTTTTTATGTTTAACTTAGATGGTTAAAAATAATTCATATTTATTAAATTATAATTTTTATAGATCATACTTGTTGACATTTGATTTTTGGAAACAAAAATTTCAGTTTACATTATTTTTATATAATTTTTAAATTTAAAAATAATATTTAATATTATAGTAGACTTCTTTATCAGTCTGCTGAGCGGACTTCATTAGTATTTGCAGATTTCGAAGGGTTATAATCGTAATTGAGACATCCGTTTTATTGTTTACTCATATAGGAGATAATAATAATTTCTCTACCCTTCTGACCTATTTTTGTAATAGGTTGAATTTGAGTTATACTTTTACATTTGGATTGAATTATATGCTTTTCATCTATTGGAAAAAAACACATACTCGACTCATGCAAAAGTCCACATTATATAAAACTAACAAGACAGGGTTTGTGGCTTTTACTATTAGAGTTACCGTATATCCGTGATTAAAGTGTGAGTCAATTCGCCCAAAAAAAGTTAGAGTCAACAACTTTTTTGAATTTTTATCAACTTAATTAATTATTTATTCAAAAGTGGGTAAAGCTAACACACCGACCTTTTACTAAACAGAATCTTATAAAATGGTAAAACTCATGAGAATACAAGAAAGCTAAAAATAAAAAATAAAGGGAAAAGAACAGCAATCGAGTGAAATGATGAACATATATGCACCCCTTTTCTTTTATATGGATATTTCGAATACTGTGGGGCACATTTTCTTATCAGGAGTCATGGAGATTTTAATAAAAGTTTCATGCTAAACCATGAACTTTATTCAATTAGGTAAACATTGATTAAAATTTTTTGTTGCTAAATAATATAATTCGGTGTGGTGAAAACGAAAATATTTTAAATGTTGGCAAATGTTATATTTTGTTTTTTTCAAATGACATGAGTCACATGATATTCATTCATGTATCAGAGATAGAGAAACATGACATATATAACTAGTCATGTAATTTTTTCGATAATCGGTTATTGAATGAAATGATTTTGCGTAACACAAGAGATATATTAGTTACGATGTGCAAAACTGACTTTCGTTTAATTGCTGTTTTCCATTAGATTTTTTAACTTAAATAGAACAAAATTATGGTGTTTAGCTGATTTGCCATTATATTAAATGAATATTTTTCTGGAATATGTCATACTTGTATATTCAAGGTCATGTGATAGTTTTAAATCTTGTTGATTCACCTAATCCTGATTAGGTACCTATATAAATATCCACAGTATATTATAATTTTTCATTTTAAACAAAACAAAGAATGTTTTTCGTCTATTATATCCTTTTATAACATAAAGACCCTCAAATAATGATACAGTATTTATTTATTTGTTGACAAACTGATTTTGTCATCTATAAATTGTTTGCAGAAGAATCTCCGTGACCGCGTGACGGTTGATAAAACAATCTCATAATTACCATACCCAGCAAATAAATAAAAAGCAGCACATGGAAGCCATTTGCGCGAGGATAATTCTTGTAAGAACCCCATTACCAAAAAGCGGATAATAATGATAAAAACAGCAGAGACATTCGAACCATATAATAAAAAGTAAAACATTTCCTTAAAAGAAATTAAGCTAGATTCGATATTGATTGTTTGATCAACTTGCTGTATGAACAAAAGAAAAAAAAAACAGTAAACAAAACCGAAGGATCGATGTAAAGTCAAAAGGAAAAATTTAATTTAAACAAGCTGTAGCTGCAGATCATGTTATGTCTTGTAGCTATTAAATCCTACGACCTGTAAGATTCTACTTAGTTTTTTAAGAAATAATTATATATAACATATATATATACTTATATAACTATATTGACATATTACCTGGATTAGGATAATAAAATAACAGGACTCATGAATAAATCGTTAAATTATACTCCCTCCGTTTTACAAAGAGTGTCGTTTTAAGGTTTTATTTTTGTTTCACAAATAATGTTGTTTTATATTTTCAATGCAAAAATTTAATTAATATTCTAGTTTTAACCCTATTAATTTAATGTATTTATTAGATAAAAACAAATAATATAATGTATTAATAAGGGACAAAATTGTACTTTTAATAATTTTCTTAATATGTGTGAAAAATATCAAAATAACACTCTTTATAAAACGGAAGGAGTAATAAACATTAATAAAAGTCCAAAATGATGATATTATGATTGAGATAAATCAATATATATTGTATACAACGAAGTTTCTCTCTTTTACTCAACGAACTAGTGTTCATATAGATAATACATTATATGATCAGAAAACAGTGACTATTTTTGCAATAAACTGTTTTGAGTTAGTGAGAAAGATATCCACACCAAAAAAAATGGTGTATTCTTCAATACATCAAGATGAATTCGTAGGTATTTTTTTTCTTTTCTCTTATAACATTTCAGATCCGAGTCTATTCATTACTTTAGAAACAAACCGAAAATGTTACGTAACGGAGATGGGCACAGACCGGCCTGAACATCCCATACTACTTAAGCTAGCCGTGACCGAATCTGACCCTCAACTTCGCAGCCTAAAACTTTTTAACCCATACTGCAAACTCGAGTTGTTCTGACCCGTACTAAATTCAATATCATTAAGACTGAGGTTTTAGCTTCTAAAACATACTCTTATATATATATATATATATATAAGTTTTGGGCCACGACCTATTGCCAAAAGATAACATATACATATTTTGCTAACCGGATTCTTCACAAAAGCCAATACATACAACACTACTTTGGTATTCTAACTACTGCGGATTATCCGGATTATTCGAGTTGGTTTCTGCGACACAATTTACTCGATAAAACTTTAAAAACTCTATCTTATGAGCATGACCTTTATCTAGTTTAATCCATACGTAAAATAGACATACAAGTTAGCATGACATATTCATCTTTATGTTTTTGATATTTATTTCCGATTTATATTTTAAACTGTTCTGTACATTTATGTTGTTGATGAAAAAACTAAAAACTAATGATCAAACTTATGATTAAAAGTTTATTATTTTTAAAAAATTTGTAGTCGCATAATCAAAATTTTGATAAATATATATATATGAATTCCAAATGCTAAGTGTGTATAAATAAAAGTTAGTTTGTTACATAATTTAACTGGTTGACTCAAACATTCGATAGTGTTTAGGGGTGATAGTTCAACTTCTAGATGCTCATACGATTTTTTTCTAGATTACTATACGTTTGTGCATATACTCTAGTGATTAACAAAAGTTTTGTACACTTTTAACAGCACGGAAGTTTTTCTTAATTTTTTTTTCATATAAGTGCTAATTTCAAGAAAAAAACTGGTGATATTCAATGATTAATGGACCCTGGAAACTGGAAGTGCAAAAACGCATTGATTATAGTATTTATAAAACTCTGCAGATTATGCAGAGAGAGCAGGAACAGAGGTTTGGTTTCGTTGCGTGAGCTGTTTCCCTTTCACATGGTCTCACTTCCTCTTTAATTCTCTCTTCTTCTACCTCTGGACTCTCTCTCTCTCTCTCTCTCTCTCTCTCTCTCTCTTTCTCTAGCTATGCTGTTTCTTCCTCGGAAGCCATGAAAATAGGATTAGTTTCACGGATCTTCTTCTTCTTCTTCTCTTGCCTTGTTCTTGTCTCTTCAGGTTTAAACTCTGATGGAGTTCTCTTGATGACTTTCAAATACTCTGTTCTTCTTGATCCTCTGTCTTTGTTGCAGTCATGGAATTACGACCACGACAATCCCTGTTCGTGGCGAGGCGTGTTGTGTAATAGCGATTCAAGAGTTGTGACTTTGTCTCTCCCAAACTCTAAGCTCGTTGGTTCGATTCCTTCCGATCTGGGTTTCCTCCAATACCTCCAAAGTTTCGATCTTTCCAACAATTCGATCAATGGGTCATTACCAGTTGAGTTTTTCGCCGCCGGTGAGCTTCGGTTTTTAGACCTCTCAAATAACTTGATATCCGGCGAGATCCCTGCGACGGTCGGCGATATGCACAAACTCCAGACGTTAAATCTCTCTGATAACATCTTATCGGGAAAATTACCCGCCAACTTGGCGTCTCTTGGAAGCTTGACGGATGTTTCTCTGAAGAACAACTACTTTTCCGGCGAACTTCCCGGCGGGTGGAGATCCGTTCAGTTTCTAGACCTCTCTTCGAATCTGATCAATGGTTCATTACCACCGGATTTCTCCGGCAACAATCTCCGATACCTTAATGTCTCGTATAACCAGATCTCCGGTGAGATTCCTCCTGATCTCGGTGCTGGTTTCCCTGGTAACACCACCGTGGATTTCTCCTTCAACAATCTAACCGGTTCAATCCCAGATTCTCCGGTTTTCCTTAACCAGAACTCAATTTCTTTTTCCGGAAACCCGGGTTTATGCGGAGCTCCGACCCGAAACCCATGTCCCATTCCTTCCTCCCCAGCCACCGTCTCCGGCGCCGCCACGCCGACGTCTACGCCTGCACTCGCAGCTATACCGAAAACAATCGGTTCAAACTCAGAAACCGACCCGGACGGACCGGAAAACAAGAACTCAAATCCAAGAACCGGGTTAAGACCCGGCGTTATAATCGGAATCGTAGTCGGAGATATCGCCGGAATGGGAATCCTCGCGCTCATCTTCTTCTACCTCTACAGATACAAGAAGAACAAAAGCGTGGAGAAGAACACACAAAGTTTAGAAGCAAACGAAATCAAAGACACAACTTCATTATCACCATCATCATCAACAACTACTTCTTCTTCCTCTCCAGAACAATCCAATAGATTCGCCAAATGGTCATGCCTCCGTAAGAATCAAGAAACCGATGAAACGGAAGAAGAGGAAGAAGAAGAAGAACGTCAAGGGCCAGGAGAGAACAACAAGAAAGGAACTTTGGTAACCATTGATGGAGGAGAGAAGGAGCTTGAAGTAGAAACTCTGCTCAAGGCTTCTGCTTACATTTTAGGAGCCACCGGTTCGAGTATAATGTACAAGACGGTTCTCGAGGACGGTACGGTTCTCGCGGTTCGTCGGCTAGGTGAGAACGGTTTGAGTCAACAACGCCGGTTTAAGGATTTTGAGGCACATGTTCGAGCTATTGGCAAGTTGGTTCACCCGAATTTGGTCCGTCTCCGTGGATTCTATTGGGGTAACGACGAAAAATTGGTCATTTACGATTTTGTCCCTAATGGCAGCCTCGTCAACGCCCGTTACAGTGAGTCAACATCATCTTTCCAATCACTTTCTCTCGTTTTATGATAAGGCGCACTCTAACAGAAATGATCAAGGTTTTGCTATAATACGTAGATACATAGGTTGGTGGTAGTTAGATACTTAGATCTGTTATGATAAAGTCAACGTCGGGTCAAATTTTTCTTGCACATATTTGCTGAATTTGATTGCGATTGGACAGGGAAAGGAGGGTCGTCGCCGTGCCATTTACCGTGGGAGACTCGGCTCAAGATAGCTAAAGGTTTGGCTCGTGGGCTTGCTTACCTCCACGAGAAGAAACACGTGCACGGTAACTTAAAACCTAGTAACATACTTTTGGGCCAAGACATGGAGCCTAAGATTGGTGATTTTGGGCTCGAAAGGCTTCTTGCTGGCGATACAAGCTATAACCGAGCTAGTGGGTCCTCTCGGATTTTCAGTAGCAAGCGATCAGCAACAACGTCCTTGCGTGAATTCGGATCAATCGGGCCTACACCGAGCCCGAGTCCAAGCTCGATTGGGCCTATATCTCCTTATTGCGCACCCGAGTCGCTCCGTAACCTCAAACCAAATCCGAAATGGGACGTGTTTGGGTTCGGAGTGATCCTCCTCGAGCTTCTCACAGGGAAAATCGTGTCCATAGACGAAGTTGGGATCGGAAATGGGCTAACGGTAGAAGACGGAAACCGAGCACTGATAATGGCTGATGTGGCGATCCGATCCGAATTGGAGGGAAAAGAGGACTTTTTACTTGGTCTTTTCAAATTGGGATATAGTTGTGCATCTCAAGCTCCACAAAAGAGACCGACTATGAAGGAGGCTTTAGTAGTCTTTGACAGATTCCCTATTAGCTCTTCGGCTAAGTCTCCATCGTACCTTTACGGACACTATTAATGTTTGATCTTACACTAACTTTGTAAGCCTCTTTACGAGGCTGAAGTATATACACATGAAGCAACTCGTTCTTGTTATTTGTTCACTTGATTTTTTTGTGTGTGTTTTACATGATTTTTAGGATATTACCAAAGTGTGGTTTAATTTTAGTTTTTTTTTTAACTTATAGTATGTGTTGGTAGACATATTCGTTATGAATTTGCAAAACTTAGCCTAATGATTTGTACTAATGTTGTCATTCTATCATAACTTGTGTTTAACCGGTTCGAATGAGAGATTGTAAACTGGATATGATTCGATACTAAAAATTTCAACAAAAATATATCAAATGTTAGTTCCACACTAATCATATTTGATATGTTCGATTCGCTTAGTTTGCATCAGTTATTTTATTATTACCTCTCAAACACCTAGAATATTCGTCATGAATTTGCGTTATCGGTAACAAATTTTTCTATACTTAACTTGCTCATACCTAAATCTCGATCGGTTATATGCGAAGGATAAAAAAGCACATACCTGTTTTAGAGAATGAGACATATCTGTATTTGATCATACGTTCTTAACATTTAAAAAAAAAAATGTTTTTCGAATGTTTGGATATGAACAAAATTCTACTGCATTCAGTTCTGTATTCTGAACTCTGAACTGCTTAGTAAAACAAACCCGATACCAAACCGGTAAATTGATCCATATGATTTGAACCGGTTTGAAGAATGTAGATTTGTTTAACCGGATATGTTCTGACTCCAAAAATTCCCAATCCGAATCTACCCATCTCCGTCTCCTCCGTCGCAGTTTCAACATCCAGAGACAGTGAGTGTGAGAGAGAGAGAGTTCGAAGTTGGTGCATCCATGGAACCCGAAACTACTGGTGGTGTTTCAGCAGCAGCAGCAGCCACCGATGATGTCCAATCTAACGGCTCTTCGTCTCCCGCGGACGCCGTTTCACGGTTGATCCACGCCGTGGAGCAGCGGCAACAGCATCTTCTCGATAAGACGGTTCCTCACGTTCTCTATCGATGGATCGCTTGCCTCTGTGTCGTACTCATCTACTTCGTGCGCGTCTTCTTGGTTGAAGGCTTCTACATCATCACCTACGCCATCGGAATCTACCTTTTGAACCTCATCATCGCTTTTCTCTCCCCTCAAGAAGATCCCGAGTCTTCTCTCACCGGTGGGACTCTTCCTACTCGTAGATCCGATGAGTATCGACCGTTTGTTCGCCGTCTCCCTGAATTCAAGTTCTGGTTCGTGCCTTTTCCTCTTTCTTCGATTTTCCCACAGTTTTTTTTTGCAATTGATTGAATTGTTAGATCTGATCGTGCCGTATCTAGATGAAGAATTTAGGGTTTTAGTAGCAAAATTGGGCATAGCCTTATTGGTTTGATCGCAGATGAATTGTGACTAAATCTTTAAAATCAGTGTAGAGGATGATGAATTGCTTGTTGATTATTCTGTAGAGGACTACATTTGCAGTAAGAAAGTAACGTTGTATGTAGAACCAAATATTAGATAACATCGAAAGAGAAATCGACAAGATTCACTTCCTGACGCCTATAAATGCTTGAGTTTATCAATCTAAGAGTGTCCTGAAGTATTGATTCTATTGATCTTAGATAATGCGTAGCGTTATTGGTTTGATTGCAGATGAATTGTGACTTAATCGTTAGAATCACTGTAGAGGATGATGAAATGCATGTTGAGATGCTCGATTATTCTGTAGAGGACTACATTTGCAGTAAGAAAGAAACATTGTATTTAGAACCAAATATTAGAGAAGATCTAAAGAGAAATTGACAAGAATCACCTCGGGAAGCCAGTGATTGATTTTTAGGTTTATCAATCTAAGAGTGTCATGAAGCATTGATTCTATTGAACTTAGATGATGCGTAGCATTATTGGTTTGATTGTAGATGAATTGTGACTGAATCTTTAAAATCACTGTAGAGGATGATGAATTGCTTGTTGAAATGCTCGATTATTCTGTAAAGAAACTACATTTGCAGTAAGAAAGTAAACCACATTTGAAGTAAGATGTCATTTTGGATTCTATTGATCTTAGACAATGTTGTTTTCTTGATGGTTGAATAAAGATGTCATCTTTGGGTTCTGTTCACTGCTTGATTGATGCATTTTCTATAAGTTGAATTTCCTGTGTGTTTATTCCACTAGGTTATCGATCATCAGGGCATTTGCCATCGGTTTTACGATGACGTTCTTCGATGTATTTGATGTACCCTGTTTTCTGGCCAATACTTCTTTTCTACTGGGTGATGCTTTTTATCCTCACAATGAGGAAACAGATACAACATATGATCAAATACAGATATGTCCCTTTCTCTTTCGGGAAACAGGTATGTGCTTCTTTTTTAACTATCCTTTGCATATAAACCGATATAGATTCATGTCATGAGCAAGTTAAGTAATAGCTTTCTAACTTCATCCTCGGGTTGCTTCTTCTAGCAGAAATATGGAAAGAAACCTGCTCCAACAGAGAGCAGTGAATGATCAAAATCCGACGAAGTAACCGTTCAGGTCAGCGATTTTTAAAACCCTCTGAGAAAGTAACAGTTCTTTTAGAGGTCGGTCTTTTATTTGCTTTTGATCGCCCGAAGCTTTTGTGAAGGATGAAATAGACAGATTTTGCTCTTTTTATCATCCTGACTGTTTTACTGGTTTTCACCTGAACACCAATGTATCTTATTATTACATTGTTTTTGTCAATGAGAATAATGTTTTATATACTTGATTCTTCCGTAATCATCATGAAATCGTAATCAAGGTTCGATGAACATTTTGCTTTGCTCTATAAGTTTACGACTTTTTGGTTTTTATAAATCGGATCGGAGCTTATAACAGACTGTAACGAATATTATGTATCTTTCCAACTTCCATCTGAGTGGGCTTTGGCTTATGTGGGCTGTACCACACTATAGTGGGTATTTTGTAAAAACAATGGTACTACCTTGAAATCAATACAATAAATGTGAAACTTGTGTTAACGACTGGTAATGTATAACTTCATATTATACTCTATTTTAGTATAATTCTAAAATATAGTTGTGTTTTACTCTAATTTTATTTCATTTTTATTCTAAAATGGAACTCTATTTTTTTTTTCTATATGAGAAACTCCATTTTTTATTTTATTTTAGAGAGAAATATAAGAGTGGAATTGAAGATAATTTTACTTCAAACTCTATATTTTAAAATGAAATTTGGAGTGGGGTTGGAGATGATAAAATATTATAGTCAGAACAAGAGATATAAGAACAAATGACACAAAAGTTGAAGAGTGAACATAATAATGCGTTCATACTTAATAAACTCAGGTCTATAATATTGTGTCCCTAATATTATCTCATTCAAGGCTTAGAACTTAACAATCTCATTTGTTTTTTTCTCATTTTTATTTACAATCTAAATATTCTGGTGATGAAAACAATCTATTTTCTTTCTAATGTTTTGGCTCTACAAACCCATTTCATTAAACATTTTATTTTTTTAATAACCAATAGGTGATACAAATTTTTATTACCTAACTAATTTCTTCTTTCTAATAACAATAGGTGATTCAGATTTTGATTACCTAACTAAGAAATTATTTATGATATCATTAGATAATTTTTCTTTGAAATGTAAGTCATCTCTAACCTGAATCTACATAACAATTTCTCAATATATGGAAACCACTAATCTATTAGACTATTATTACTGGATTAACTAAACATTTGACCTTACTAAAAGGAAATATGGAATAAAAGTCCTATGAAAAAAACTGCAAATGTAGATATTTTAACTAGTTAACTAATGAAAACTCTTATGGAAACAACAGTTTTATATGTAAATATTTCATTAAATCACCATCGATCAAAAAGTTTTAAAATTAAATAGGTATATGATTTTAGGTGAACTTTTTCCATCATGCTGTCACATCAGCATCTGAATGGAGGACACATGTCCTTTCAAATAATTAATAAATCATAAAATTTAAAATAAAAAATTAAAAACTAATTAATACCACTACTTCTAACTTAACTATTCTATTTAATATTTATTTCATATGTATTTATGTTCATAACTATTATTAAGGCTTTTCACATTCCTAACAAAAATAAATAAACAACATTTCTAACTTTTTATATTTTTAACTTTTTGGTATTCGTCTAAAACTTTTTAATAATTTTTTATATTAACTTAATACTTTTCTTCCGGCTTATCCTCATCATAAACACTTTTTTCGAAGCTTATTGTATGAAAAAATGTAAAGATGTAGTGTTATCTTCATTCAAAGATTTGACGGTTTTTATGGGTCAAATATGATATTATTATAGCTGCATTTTATTGTGAAACATAAAGTATGGGGTGGTTCTTGCAGAATCAAGGCAATTGTAGAACATTAAAAATTGGAGGTAATTATATGTTTTCAAACAATTCAACCAAAAAAATATGATTTTTATCTACGTCTTTTTTACTTATAATATGTTTATGATTTCTAGAATAGTAGAATAATTTTCCTAATTACCATATTTCAAATCCTTAAAAAAGTTGTTTGTTTTTTAAAGAATTTATTTTTTAAAAATCGAATACTAAACAATCAAACAAATTATCATATTCTTATAATTAACTATATATATATCAATACAAACATACTTTTAAAAATATTATGTGAAACAAAAACTGCGCCTATGCGCGGATACAAGTTTAAGTTTAGTATGAGATGAAATGTTAAGAAATAGAGAGAAGGAACTTTCGGCGAGAGAAAAGAAACACGTTTCTCGTAGTCATAAACCAGTCTGAAGGGTTTCGTCAGCTTTCCGTCATTGACTTTGAGTGTCTCTTCAGTCAAGTTTTGTGTGTACTTTGGTTTTCTTTTTCTTGCCGGCTCTCACAACTTCTTTATTTTAACTTGGATACAACTTTATTATATTTCCAACTTACTTTATTAATAACGAAACGACAATAATATTTACTAATTTTTTCTTCATGTGATTGATATTAATTTGAAAAATATTATGTCATAGAAGCGACCAACTCCTTTTTTTCAGACAATCTTTTTTGCCTGAAGTAAAATGAAGAACCTAGAAAACTAAAGCCAAGCAAGGAAAGTACAAAAATCCAAAAATGGATTTCGCTAGAAAAATTACAAGAGATTTACCTCTGTTGCAACTTGCATCTACTAAAACATTTTAGAAACTAATTTTTGGTCCAAATCTAAACCATAACGTTGGACTGGCGGGGTACAAATTTTTCACAACTAATATTTATTGTACAGAAAAACGAAAAATCAATAATAAGAAATTACTCTAATGTCATCGTAGATATTGTATAGACTTGTAAGTTAAATAAATATCTAATGAGCATTAGTGTATGTGGTTTTAAGTGTTTTCTACAACCACCAACCTAAACCTAAAAGCATCATATAATTCATAAGTGAAGAAGCAAGGAAATGGACGTAAAGAAGGAAAACTAATGAATAAAATAACAAAAAGGATGCTGACAAAAAAGTCAACTCCACCAAAGCTGGCAAAGACAAAACCTTCTGCGATTAAGTTAAAATTTGGGTCCCACTTCTCAATCAGATCTTACGGCTGACGACCAAAGTTTGACCCGATGCTTCAACTGCCCCTCCATGATTAAAAATGTTTTTTTTAAGATTGATAAACAATTATTAATCTACATTTTCTGTTTTGTAAACTTTTCATATACTGAAATCAGGTTAAACTAATCAATTCATAGTAATTTTAAGATATATTGAGTTTTATTAAGATTTTAAAATTGACTAAAAACACTACACGAAATAAACAAAATACTACCCAAAAAAATTAAAAATAGAATATATTAATACATAAAATTAAACTGAACAACATACATCAGAATAATTGGAAAAAAATTATAAGCATCAAATATTTATAAATTTTAACTAGCTAAACGAAAAATCAAAACAAGTTATTTACAATCGACTAATAAAATATATAATTCATTATAAAAAAGTTTTTGAAACGCATTTTCGTTTTTATTTATTCACTTTTATATATTGAGAATGTTGTATCGGCACTCTATAAATATTTTTTCTCGCACAAGTTTAGAAGTAATCATAAATTTTGTTTTATAGTAATAAAGATCAAAACTATGACTACTGTTGTAACAAACGCATCTTATTGATTTAAAAAAAAAACAAACAAACGCATCTTATTACTAAAACCAATAATTTTGTACAAAATTTGACTTTTTAATTCACCAAAAAAGGAAATTGACTCTTAACAGTAAAGAAATTGACTCTATTTATGAACATGGGAAAAGTCTAACGTGACACATTAGTCAGTCACCTAAACCAATTTTATTTGTTTTTTCTTCTTCTTACTTAGTCCCCTCAAATCTCAAAAAGTCCACAATCTCTCTCTTTCTCGCTCTCTCTTCATCTTCTAGAGAGAGATTTTATGGCGGTGGAGCTCATGACTCGAAACTACATCTCCGGCGTCGGAGCCGATAGCTTCGCCGTTCAAGAAGCTGCAGCTTCAGGGCTCAAAAGTATGGAGAATTTCATCGGTTTGATGTCTCGTGAAAGCTGTAATAACTCCGATCAACCATCTTCTTCTTCCGCCGCCGTTGCCGCCGATCTGGAATCAGCTCGTAACACGACGGCTGACGTGGCGGTTTCGAAGTTCAAAAGAGTCATATCTCTCTTAGATCGGACTCGTACCGGACACGCCCGGTTTAGACGCGCTCCGGTTATTTCTCCAATTCAAGAAATTAAACCGACGCCGTTTCAAGCTCCGCCGCAGATCCGTAAAGGTTCGTTTTCTTCATCGATCAAAACGATCGATTTCTCTTCTCTCTCCTCCGTAACGACGGAATCAGATCACAAGAAGCATCTTCATCGTCCCTCCGAAACGGCGCCGTTTGAGACTCAAAGCCTCTCAACTTCTTCTTTGTCCAAATCAACAAAGAGAAAATGTAATTCAGAGAATCTTATCGCCGGAAAATGCGTCTCTGCTTCTTCCTCCGGTCGTTGTCATTGCTCCAAGAAAAGGTATTAGATTTTTTAGATTCGATCGAATTTTTTAATTAGATTTGGTTTTTAGATTCGACGACCCAAGAATGAATAAAAAAATTAAACCTTTGAAGTAGATTTGGTATTAGATTTGATCTTAATTGTTTTTCTGTTACAGGAAGATTAAACAGAAGAGAGTAATTAGGGTTCCGGCGATCAGTGCTAAAATGTCCGATGTTCCTCCAGACGATTACTCATGGAGAAAATACGGACAAAAACCAATCAAAGGATCTCCACATCCCAGGTAATAAAAATTGATTTTTTTTTAAATGATTCTGAATCTTGATGTGTGACTCTGTTTCTTGAATTTGAAAAAAACAGAGGATATTACAAGTGCAGTAGCGTAAGAGGTTGTCCAGCTCGTAAACACGTGGAGAGAGCAGCAGATGATTCCTCGATGTTAATCGTTACTTATGAAGGAGATCATAATCATTCTCTCTCTGCCGCTGATCTTGCCGGCGCCGCCGTAGCTGATCTCATTTTGGAATCGTCTTGAAGAAAATCTTAAGACTCAAAATTATATAAAAAATTAGAGATCCTAGCGAAGTACTTTTGTTTTTTTTTTAAAGTTTAAACGACTGAAACTATGAATCATGTAATCAAACCTTTTGCGGAAGATATAAATTTAGCTATATTAAAAGTTGATACTTTATATAATTTTATTTGAAATTACTTTGGTTTTGGGTTAACCTGATTTTCATGTTGACATATCGCAATTTGAATGGCCATTTGCAATTTAAAGGTTTTTATTTTTGGTCATTAGGAAAATGAGAATGCTTGGGGTCGAATCGAAAAGTAAGGGAAAGGAGATGGGACATGTGAATGGTCAAAGGATTAGAGATTTGGGGACCAAAGATGTCGTGTTTGACCATAGCTTCTAGTTCTACGACAAAAAAAAAAGTGCTTCTCTAGTTCTCTTTTAACTTCATTTTGTTTTTGTTAACCCTTTTCAGCTTATATTAATCAAGTTCTAAAATCTGAAAAATTAAGATATAAACACATATACAAAAATGGATTTAATTCATATCAAAGCAGCACAAAATTGAAAATCATGATTAACGTATGAACTCCAAAATATAAGACATGTTATGTAATTATGTAGAATACTTATAAGTAATAATATATAATATGAGTAGTAAAACTTGTATTTATAGGTCGGATAGTAATTCAAATATGAAATAGATAGTTATAAACGTTGACATCGAATATCTAATTTTTACATGTAAATAGTAAATTTTAATAAATACATCTTACTTATATATTAGACATTTTTGGTCTAATTTTTTGAGTTGAGATTTGGATTGATATCCTAACAATTTCTTCCTCAAGCCAAGAATTACACAAACTTATTTTGTATCGCCCAACCTAATCCTTCGCGTACTGTTAGGAATTTCGACACAAAGTACCGATACCCCAATCGCAAAGTCACCTTGAGGGCTCTCTCTCACACCTAATACACAGCTCACACTTTTCTAGATCCATTTTTTCCAAAACTTCGCTCTAATACCAATTGTTGGTTTTTCAAGTCCATGTCCAACTTCCTATTAGTATGATATTGTCTGTTTTGGATCCGAGTGGTAAAGCCCGCAAGGATTTGTTTTTGGACTCCTTCCCAAAAAGCATCATACTAATATGTTGGACATCTTGCTTATATACTAGACACTCTTGGTCTAATCTTCCGATGTGGAACTTGCATTGATATCCCAACATCCTCCATTCATTCTAACAAAAAGTAGTGTTTATTCTGCGTTTTTTTTAACACAACTCTATGAGATTTTTTGTCATTAACACAACTCTGATAAACATTATTAAAAAGAAAATACGGAACATTATATAAATTTGTTCAAAATTTTGTATGAAATACGAAAGGATGATAGATTTTTTGTTAGATAAAATAATCTTAATACGATACAAGTATACTATATAACAATGCTTACAATTTCTTTAAAACATAGGAGAAATCTCGATTGCCCGTTTAGATTTCCATCCAAATTATTTTTTTTATATTATTATATTTTTCTGCAAAAGATAAGGAAAAAAAGAAAGTGGCAGAAGAGAAGTTGTCGTGTTCATGTATTCGAAGTTCGAACATGTGAATTAGTTGGAGTTTTGTGTAGGACGAAACAAATTGAATTGGACCTTTGAGACACTTACGTGTCATTTTGTTCCACTTATTAGTCTCTCTTTTAGGTCATTTTTTTTTACCCTTCGTCTCTTCTGAAGGAAGTGTATTAGACTAAACATTTGATGATTTACGTTTTAATAAGATTTTTGATGATTTTGATGATTTTAAAAAACATAGAGGGTTTTTTAAATATTTCGAGACTAGGGTTTAGGACCAAATTTTATCTTAAATATTAAAAACACTTAAAATAATTCAATTCAAATAAAATTTGGTTAACTTTTTGCAAAAATTGTTTAATTTTGACAAATAAAATTAAATATTTTAAGATATTTGATGTCTTTTGGTTATTTTTGTTTAAAGAGAATTAGTATATTAATTCTATTTGTATTTGTAATCGTAATTTTAGATGTTGTAGTTATTTCAAATTTCTTTTGTTGTTTTTGTTGAAGTATTTGAAGTATAAAAATACACAATATTTTGGATATATAATTGTATTTGGGTATTCATTCGAGTTTCATTTTGGTTTCGGTTTAGTTCAAGTACCCAAAATATTTTATATGATAAACCATTCGGATATATTTATGAAAATTTAGTTCAATTTAGTACTTTCTAATTCGTTTTGGTTTGGTGTTTTTATTCCATATACTTTGCCCAGACCTAAATGCAGCATGGCTTAAAGTTGTTCATATATTGAAAATTTAAGACTCGAGTCTCTTAATTTGAAACATTCATATGTAACTAAACATTGATATATACAAATCTATAAACAAAAGATATATGAACGAAGTGGAGAAAATTATTTGATGATTAAACGGCCAAGTTATTCTTAAAATGTTGTTTTTATGTACATATACACGTATTTACAATGTTGAATGCACCGTTTACACTTGTCATAATCAATAACTGGAACTAAACCAGTACTCTAATGAGAAACAATCATATTTATATCCAATGAAAATATATTCTGTGTTAATTTCAAAAGCATTTAACAAAAAAAAATTAAAAAGCTTGTAAGATCCACTCTTGTATGACCATTTTATTTTCTCTATTTATTTATCCTCTTTTTTTTTTTTTGCAAAACTGTAAATATTCATTACTGAAATAGGAGCTTTACAAATAGCAAAGATCAGCTGTTTGTTATCATGGCAAAAAATAATAAAAAAAACATGATAACAAAGGTTACGTGTGGGTACAAAGTCAACACTTAGTCAAGCCAAAGTTGCATAAGGTCACGAAAGTAGCTCATGTGTCTTCTAGCCGATATTGTATTCCTGATCTGACGGTCTATGTCCTTAAGAATAAGCTGCGGACTTCTAGCGGTGGCGGTGATTACTCTGTTGTTTCGCTCAATCCAAATGAAATACAGAACAGAATGGGTGACCATTTTACGAAGAGTGGTGGGGGCTGAGTCTGATCGCAGTTTTACCCAAGCAAGAAGAGCAGTCCAAGATTGGAAAAAGAAATGCGTGCAACCAATCTTTGACAACACCAAATTTCCATACTGAAAGAGCAATCAAGGAACAAGTGCTCACGAGTTTCATTCATGCCGGAGCAAAGACAACAAGAAGTCTGAGAGGATAAACCCCAAGAAGCTAGTCTCATCATGGTTGGGAGTCTTTTACGCTGGGCAGTCCACATGAAGAAAGCTTGCTTCGGAATGGCTCCTTTGTACCAAACAAAGTTGTACCAAATTTTCTTATCCTCTCTCTGCCTGATTGCATTCCAAGTGAGCTTTGAGGAGAAAACCGGAGATGATGCACCATCTACTTCCCACGAGAAGGAGTCCTCAATGGAAGAGTGATATGGGACGTCAATGGTAGTGAGATATGAATGCAAAATCATTGTCTCATCAGATCTGGGAGCTGCAATCTTCTACCCCTGAGCATCGCAGGCATCAGCAACAAGAGCATTGAGAGGGATTCTCAAATTTCTCGGGCTACTGTTTCCTATTAGTGAAATAAGTGGACCAAGACTTGTCCAATTATCAAACCAGAATCTAGCTGTTTTCCCATTGCCAACATTACATTTCACAAATTTACACGCTAGATGTCTAAGCTTTAGCAGGGATTTTCAACTTCCTGAATCATTTGCATTTTCACTTGGAGCCCAGAAACTATCGTTACGAAGGTGGTGATACCTGTGCCAAGCGACCCAGAGAGACTTGCTTCTAGAGAAGAGAAGCCAAATTAGGCGAAGTGATACGAATTCCCAAAGAACGGCACACACTTGGTCGGTATCGGATGGATAGATCCTTGACTCCAGCTGGATCTCGGAGCAGATGCTAAAGCGTGAGAATAAATCCCAAAAATCCTTAGGCTCAAACTCGCGGAGAATAACTTGGAACAAAGGGGTGGAACAAAGAGAAAGAGATCGCCGGTAAAAAGATGTTAGAGCGTGGGAAATGGATTCCCGAAAATCCCTAAGCCCCGATTACTACTAACGGAAACTTAAACTTTGCAGGCGAAGGCTGCGTTAAATTCTATGGATTGAACTTGATAAACCGAAATGATTCAAGAGGCTAACCACCTAAGGAATCGAAAAGTTCAAAAAGAACAAAGGAGAAATCTCAGTTTTATTTGATAAGTGAATGGCGAAAATGAGAAGGGGTACAAGCCTTTATATAGCAGGCGGAGTAGTCCAAAAGACAAACTCGAAAATGACAGAAAAATTAATAAAGTCTTTGACTGAAATAAATAAGCTAAGGACTGACTCTTCGGCTGGCCTTTGACTGACTCTTGAATTGCCCGAAAAATGACTCTTGCGCTGCCGATCCATGAACCAGACCCCAAACAAACCTGGGTCGAGAGATGGATAATGGACTTAACCTCGTTAAAACCCCACCCGGTAAACCCATTGGGACAAACCCGGGTGTAAGGAAAAAGAGTATTAAGCCATCACCCAGACCGGATTAGTTACAGCCGGCGTTCATGAGCACGATCACAATCTTGGGTGATGCTGGGTCGCCTGGTCCGATCTTGATCCCATTAAGAACAGCCTGAACCGTCCCTGCCAGCTTCTTAGCTCTGGATCGCGTCATAGGTCCATCCGGTACGGCCAAATGTGCTTCCGGAACCTCGATTCCCTTGTCTGGGTCGTCCTCCGGGTCCATGATCGTATCATCCTCCCCCTCTTGAAAAAGACTTGTCCTCAAGTCTGGTCCATCTGCGACAAAGGGAATAAGGTCAGAAATGTTGAAGCTGGTACTGACTAAGTACTTACCTCGTAAATCAATCTTGTAGGCATTGTCATTGATCCGCTCAAGGACCGTAAAAGGACCATCCACACGAGGTAATAACTTGGACTTTCTTTCCTCCGGAAATCTGTCCTTCCTCAAGTAGACCCATACTAGATCGCCTGGTTTGAACACCTTTTGGCTCCGGCCCTTGTTAGTATGCTTCTTGTAAACCTCGGTCTTCCTTTCAATGTTCTGTTTGGCCTTCTCATGAATCTGCTTGACAAGTTCGGCCTTTTTCTTCCCATCCATACTTACACGCTCAGACAAAGGTAAATGCGTAAGATCAAGAGGAGTAAGAGGGTTAAAACCATAAACCATTTGAAACGGGGAGAACAATGTAGTAGAATGAACCGCATGGTTATAAGCAAATTCTACATGTGGTAGACAATCTTCCCACGTCCTAAGGTTCTTTTTAATAACAGAACGAAGTAGTGCGGACAAGGTTCTATTAACGACCTCGGTTTGGCCGTCGGTCTGTGGGTGGCAAGTGGTGGAAAAGCATAACTTAGTACCTAGTTTTGACCAAAGTGTTTTCCAAAAATAACTAAGGAATTTAACATCGCGGTCAGAAACTATAGTCCTAGGCATTCCGTGCAACCTAAC